AATTTAGTGGAAACTCTTATTAGTTTTAAGATTTGTTTTATAAACTTCTATTTCTTTCTACCAATCTTAGAACTTAAGTTTCAAGACTCATTAGATGGTACGTTTGTTCATCAATTCATAACTGAACTGATAATTGAACCGATAAATATCAAATTTTAAATTAAGTGTTGACAAAGAACTATACCAAATAGTAATCAATATAATGTGAACTAGATTGAATTGATTAGTGTGATTCAATACATCCCGTTTAGGAACCAGTAAATTTTTCGTAATTTTAGTATGAAAAAATTATCATACAATTCATGTTGCTTCTTGCCTTTTTTCTTTCTGGAAACCTCCTCTGTGGCCAACATTGTTTCTTTGCTATTTGCCCTTGTTTTCATCACTTGTTAGTTAGCTCTTCTCTAATATTCATACTTAATTCACAAGCATTATGACTATTTTTAAATAATCAATTATGAGAACCTTAAATTTTCTTCTCACGTGGAATACTGTATTTGCTTTTACTCCCTTGCAACTCTTCCTTTAATTCAATTACAAGTTTCCTTTTTGATTTTACAAGATGAGTGAGAGATCCTTGATTGATGTCTCTCTCACATGATGTTCACTGAAGATAGGGAGAAGGGTCATTCACCGGTCACGTATTAGAGTATGACTATCATGCTGAAATTACATGCATCCTTTTGTTCCAAATTGTTAGATGTGACGAGAAAGTGGTCCTGAAAAAGTCATCATTTTTTTATTCATTCAATTGATAGTAAAAACATTAGCTCATAACTCCCCAAACGGCACCTCTTGTCATTGTTTTTCATTTGACTGCAAAACGACAGAAAAAGAGAGAAGCAGAGGCTACGAGGGAGACTGGTCGAGCAGGACACAAAAGGCAGGGACGACATGACAGATGGATGGTTCGGGCAGTGAGCACACAGAAAGTAGAGGGATTTCTTACCCTGTTCTGGTAATTTGAAAGTGTTGAGAGTTGAGAAAGTAGAGTGATGAGAGGCGATCCCAAAACAGTAGCCTTGCTTCTACCATGAGCGAGAAAAGAAACAGGAGGTGGCGTGAAGCAGAGAAAAAGCGTTAGAGGGAAATCAGAGGGCGATTTGAAACTAAAGGATGGGAGCTTCGGTTTTGCGAGTTGAGAAAGGACTTCCGTGAGGTATGGAGGCCGAAGAGAGAGAGGGAAGGGTTTTCTTCTGAGAAGAAACTGGTGAGGGGTTTACAAAAAAGCTTGATCACATAGTACGTGCAACCAGAGAGAAAAGAGGTCTATAACTCATCAACAATTGCTTCCACCAACAATTTCCTATAACTCTTCATCAAACCGGGGATCAGTCTAAACATAAGTGTACAAAACTCCATCTCATTCAGCGCTCCATCACCATCCAAGTCTCCTTCCCTCAACATACAAATGACCTCCTCATCACTCATTCCTTGCAAACCAAGTAAAGCAGAGTTCCTCTTCAAGCTCTCAAATGTTATCAGACCCTTCTCTCCATCCATCAAAAGCCGGAACCCGTTACACAGTTCTTTCATGAATCCTTCGGCTCCCAATTTCTCAATCATGGCTGGGAAAAAATCCTCAAACACAATTCCGCTTTGTGTTGCCATAATTTTTCTTTCTTCCTTTTATGTGATTTGAGAAAGAAATGACGTTGCAATGGCACATGGAAAGATGAGTAGACCTTGAAGAGATATTTATAGTTCTTTTATTATGTGAAACGAGAACAATAAACGGGTGAGGAGCGAAATTATTAAGGAAAAACAAGTCTTAGAGGAAGGATTGTAAATGACAAGGAAGGTACAACCTTACAAGGTAAGAGGAAATTGGTATAGAAGGTTGTTGTTGCCGGCATTTTGCTGCCTGTAAGTCCTGGCCATTTCTGTCCCCAAATTGTTCTCCTTCCTCGAAGTTGCACGGGAAGTACCGTATATTTTTTGGTCATGGCAAGCATTTTCTTGTCATTTGATAATATATTTTTACTACCTGGCATGAACTTCCAAAAAATTACACACCCAGTACCCTGTTTGGTGCTCCTTTAAAGAGGAAACTAAAGTTGGTCTGGAACGTATGTAAGATGTTGATCTTATTGGTTTGGCATGTCAAATTTAGAGAATGGTAAAGGCAAGAAAAAACAGAAGAAAGAGAGAAAGGAAAGAAAGATGATATTTCTGATTTCATCATGTAGTTGAAGTTTGTCATCTTATGGTTGTAATGTCTACAAGGCCAAATGCCTCCAAGTTATCTTTAAATCAAGTTGAATTAAAACTATAAACTGTTAGCAGGAAAAAAGAATAATTGAAATTTAAAATGATATTTTATTTTTTGAAATTACATAAATTATAAAATTTTACTTTTATAATTTTAGTTTTTGTTAATTTGTTTAATTTGTTTATCAACAAAGATAATTAATTTTATTTTAATGAAAATGAAAGTAATAAATTTTTGTTTTTATTTTGATAGTCATAATTTGAATCAATCAATTCAATCAAATTTGTGTAGCTAGTCCGTTAAAATAATTAATTATTATTTAATTATGGATCCAAAAATTGTTACGATATCATTTGTAAAACTTAAAATTACTTTTGAAATTTGTTAAAATTATTTATATTTTTCTATTAAAAGTTGGAAGTCTTCATTATATATATATATACACACACACACACACAATTTTGGAAATTTGTATTAAGTCTCATATGAGATAATTGTCATTGAAGGAAACTACTTCAGAACAAATAAAGAAGGTAACATCAAATGTTATCAGCAAGTCCAAAACAAAACAGATATCAAGATAAGAAGAAACCTTTTAAAATCATAAAATGAAAACAAAGAATTTTTATTTTATTATTTAATACGAGTAATTTATCCTTAACATTAATAATTTAGCATAAAACATATAGTTTCTAAACATTTTTCTTATCATTTGCGTCAAGGACCATTTATTTGCTGCAAGTTGTTGCGGGAGAACATCAGCTTATTTTGTACACACGACGGAGAGTTGAAGGAAGTTTGAGTTTTTCTTTGCCTTTTAAGGCTAAAATGACAGGGAGTTGATGTGGATAAAAAATTAAACATGTATTTCTCACTGCACGGGTGGATAACATATCATTTTTCTTTTCAGATGTTTTTTTTCTCACTTTATGGCTGATTTTGATTGAAGCGACTAACAAGTAAGAAAGAGATGATCCTTGCATCAAGTGAATAACTTTTTCATATCTGGCCCCAATTTCTCCTACTTCCTATTTCGATTTCTATGCTTGTTCAAACAAAATACTAGAAATTAATGTTTTCATTTTAAAATAAACACCACACTTAGTATTTTTTTTTTTTTTTATATTTTTATTTGTTACGGATTTAGTTTAGTTCAAAGAATTAGGGTTTACAGAATAAGACAAAAGTTAATATTTAGTAGTCTTGATTTTTTATTATCATCTTATAGGAGTTGTTTTATATAAAACAATAGAAGTCTAATAATGAAGAACAAATAAGAAAACAATTTTAAAATTAAAAAGTTTTTTATAGGAGATATAGGCGCAACTAATTTCCATATAGTTTATTTTTTTATTAATTTTTTCATTTCAATTTTTTCAAAAGTTTAATTATTTTTCATATTTTTATTATTTTATGTGGGTAGGACAAACACTTTTCAATTTTTTTAAAATAAGAATTAATACCCTCATTATAACTACATATTAAACTCTTAATTTTTTTGTTATAAATGAGAATTGATACCACGAGAGTTAATGGCTCGTGGTCAAATTTTTTTTTAGTTTATCTTTAAAGTCTCATTGTCTTACATTAATATACATCTATTGTACTTAATAGTGATTATTTTACTTAACTTTGTAGTTTATTAAAATAATCATAAATAAGAAATCAAAAAAATTTTGTTGGTTTCATATAAAATTGGAGACTAGGTGTGCTTTGTTCTACATGTGCCTTCTTTAATACAATAATTATTGTTAATCTATTTTGCTAATAGTAATAGATTAAAAACTCTAGTTGTTCTGCTTAGTGCTAAACAATGAAATGTAATAAATTTTAGTATTAGGAGCCTTAGTTAATTGATGGAAGCTTCCTCCTTCACAAATCTCTTCAGTAAAAGAGTGTATGATTCTAACGATTTATGTCACTGCAAAGACATAGACGTTTATTAATGTATAAAAATTATTTACTACTTAATTTATAGTTGAAAGAGTTTAACAGAAAAGAAATATCTTTACAAAACCTTTAAACTTAGACAAAAAATTTGTCATGATCAACTAACTTTTATTTTTTTTAATTAGGCATTTAGTGTTTGATCATCCATTTCGTCGTTGGTTATAAAAATTTGCAATTGCAAAAGGCAAATTTGGTTGCTATGGGAAAGAGACAAATGTAGATTAATATGTTAAAATTAATATAGGATTGATAAAGATATCTCAATTTATAAAAAAATCAGTTTTTTTTTTAAATACTATACCGTTAATATAATTTTATCTTTTATAATATACAAACGAGAAATTTTTAAGAATTACGCGATTATAACCAAATTTTGTTTGAAGATTAAGTGTAATCTATATAATTGTGTATATATATATACACATATATATAATTGTGTTGAAAGTTGAATTTTAGAATGTACAAAAATTATGTATAATTAAAATTTTTATGTGTATTTTAAAACCAAATTTATACTTGCATAGATTTATGGAGTTTTGAAAGTATTATTGATAGCACAAATATAAAATAAAAAAATATAAAACTGAATAAAACATATTTTTAATGTTATATTGTAGATCTATATATTATATTATTATTATAATATGCACATGCATAGATATAGAGTTGAATTGGAAGTTTTACATTCGTTAACAAAAAAAATATGCATTCACGTATTTATCCAAAATACCCATGGGCCATCAAAATTTTAAATTATTGTAGCTTAAAACGAAATTAATTATCAGAAAAAAATTAATGCATAAATCATAGTTTAAAAGTGTTTTTGATAGAAATATATAAAAATAATACTACAAAAATAATAATAACGTATATAAATTTAACATTATAATATAAACTGTAATTAGCTGAATTAGTTACTGATTGATTAGTTGTAATTAATGGGTAATTAAACTGGTTACCCTCGCACGTACAAATACTGTAAATGTAATTAATGTAAAACAGCTCTCATTTTTTTCTTTTTCCCAGACTCCACGTTTGCTTTAGTCTCTAAATTTTTCTTTCCGGTTCTCAGAACTCAAAACCAGATCATAAGGGATTTCTATAAGTTTGTTTCAAGTTTTTCAAAGTGGTATCATAGCAATATATTTCATAAGTTCTCATCTTATCAATTCTGCAGCTGCTGCTACACATCAATGCTCATGCATACATACATACAACTACTGTATTTGTCTGCTGCTACACATCAATGCTCATGCATACATACATACAACTACTGCATTTGTCTTTTAATAATATAGGCATTAGGATAATATAGAGGAGGAAGAGAGGAAGTAAAGATAACGGTGCTTATGAGGGGAGTATTTAGTAATGCTTAGCTTTTTACAAGTAATGCATTTGTATGTATAGACTGTATATATTTACAGTCGTAGTTATTGAAGAGAGAAAAGAAGATAAAGAGAAGGAAAGAAAATAATTATTTTATTCCAAAAAAAAAAGTGAAGTCACATCAAGCATTGAAGAGTGTACAGAGAAAAAGTGAAGTCACCGTCAAGTAGTGAATGGTGTGTATATCTACATATATGTATATATATACGTAGAGACCTGCACAAGCCTTGAAATGCTCAGTCTCTGTTTTTAAAACACCAATTCATATTTCACAGGTCAGACGTCTCTTTTCCTTCTCTTGTCTAAAACTGCAATAAACCCTTTTCTTTTTTTTGGCTATATATATATATTTTAAAACACCAATACATGTGACGATTTTTTCTG